CCTGAAGTCGTCAACCCTACATGAGCCCTTGAAACGGGGGAAGGAGAGGCATTCCCGGCCTGTCTCATGAGACAGTGTGAGAAGGACTAGACTTATATTGATTTACGGGGGCAGAAAACACATTGTACCGAAGGCTGGACTGAAATGAAATACTGTGTACAGTATATGATAATTAATTTACTCTAAAAGCAGTTCATGGCTTGCGTGTCTTACCTGGGAATAAATCCAATCGGGATGGGAAAAAAAGAGCGATCCTATGCTTGTTTATTTGGAATAATGTAGAATTGTTTTAAGTTATTCTACGGGATGGATTTCTTTTTACAGACCAATGTTTTATGAAACAAAGATAAAGGTTTACATTGTAAATACACTTCATTTTATTTCTCATGTATTAATTAGTATGTGTGCCTTGTTTGGAATGGGAATTCATGTCCTTTGCAAACTGATGTAGGAATATCTAAGGATCTTTCCTCTTCAATTATATCAAAGCATTACACAATTTAAAATGGATAGATATGAAATATAAGTAAAATTAAAATTAAATTAAAAGGTTAAGATAATTAGACTATTTTGACCAGAGGTAGGCTGCTTCAATAGTGTTATCTTAGCCATTTGCTGGATATTCATTTGTACATGTGATGGGGTATAAATTGCAGACACAGAAGTTCTCGTCGTCGTTTAGTCGTTTAGTCGTGTCCGACTCTTCGTGACCCCATGGACCAGAGCACGCCAGGCCCTCCTATCTTCCTCTGCCTCCCGTAGTTGTGTCAAATTCATGTTGGTTGCTTCGCAGACACTGTCCTGCCATCTCATTCTCTGTCGTCCCCTTCTCCTCTTGCTGTCACACTTTCCTAACATCAAGGTCTTTTCCAAGGAGTCTTCTCTTCTCATGAGATGGCCAAAGTACTGGAGCCTCAGCTTCAGGATCCGTCCTTCCAGTGAGCACTCAGGGTTGAATTCCTTTAGAATTGATAGGTTTGTTCTCCTTGCAGTCCAGGGGACTCTCAAGAGCCTCCTCCAGCACCACAATTCAAAGGCATCAGTTCTTCAGCGGTCTGCTTTCTTTATGGTCCAGCTCTCACTTCCATACATCACGACAGGAAAAACCATAGCTTTGACTATTTGGACTTTTGTTGGCAAGGTGATGTCTCTGCTTTTTAAGATGCTGTCAAGGTTTGTCATTGCTTTCCTCCCAAGAAGCATGCGTCTTTTAATTTTGTGGCTGCTGTCTCCATCTGCAGTGATCATGGAGCCCAAGAAAATAAAATCTGACACTGCCTCCATATCTTCCCCTTCTATTTGCCAGGAGGTGATGGGACCAGTGGCCATGATCTTAGTTTTTTTGATGTTGAGTTTCAGGCCGTTTTTTGCACTCTCCTCTTTCTCCCTCATTACAAGGTTCTTTAATTCCTCCTCACTTTCAGCCATCAGAGTGGTGTCATCTGCATATCGGAGGTTGTTGATATTTCTTCCGGCAATCTTAATTCCGGCTTGGGATTCCTCCAGTCCAGCCTTCCGCATGATGTATTCTGCATATAAGTTAAATAAGCTGGGGGACAATATACAGCCTTGTCGTACTCCTTTCCCAATTTTGAACCAATCCGTTGTTCCATATCCAGTTCTAACTGTTGCTTCCTGTCCCACATATAGGTTTCTCAGGAGATAGACAAGGTGGTGAGGCACTCCCATTTCTTTAAGGACTTGCCATAGTTTGCTGTGGTCCACACAGTCAAAGGCTTTTGCATGAAGTAGAAGTAGCTATTTTTCTGGAACTCTCTGGCTTTCTCCATAATCCAGCGCATGTTAGCAATTTGGTCTCTAGTTCCTCTGCCTCTTTGGAATCCAGCTTGTACTTCTGGGAGTTCTCGGTCCACATACTGCTGAAGCCTACCTTGTAGGATTTGGAGCATAACCTTGCTAGCGTGGGAAATGAGTGTTCTACATTGATTTAATTTCCCCACAGTCACAGAATATTTATCCTGTATCCAAGTAGCCCCATTTTACTTGATATTTTTTAATCTTCCTGCTTCACTTTGGAGTACTGTATATTAAATGATTTCCAGGTGGTCCAGCTAGAGTCTTGTCCTGGTGGGAGACACTCTTCAGCATTCATCCATTTAGCAGGGTGTGTTGTTTTTCTTCTTCTTAGGTTTAGCTGAGCCTCTTCTGGTTTAACTTTTAGAGCTTGGGATGTATGCAGAAAACCTTGCCTCCATTTTGAAGGAAATCAACCCTGTGTGCTCACTGGAAGGACAGATCCTGAAGCTGAGGCTCCAATACTGTGGCCATCTCCTGAGAAGAGAAGACTCCCTGGAAAAGACCCTGATGTTGAGAAAGTGTGAAGGCAAGAGGAGAAGGGGATGGCAGAGGATGAGATGGTTGGACAGTGTCACCGAAGCAACCAACATGAATTTGACCCAACTCTGGGAGGCAGTGGAAGACAGGAGGGCCTGGCGTGCTCTGGTCCATGGGGTCACGAAGAGTTGGGCATGACTTAATGACTAAATAACAACAAGACACGGCCTCATAGGACACTTTTAATGACTGGTAGATTGTCCAGGGGAAAACCTTTGAGGCTTCAGAAGAGTACCTTCAGAGGAGGGCAAGTAGGATGATCAGGGGACTGGAAACCAAGCCCTGTGACGAAAGATTGAAAGAACTGGGGATGTTTAGCCCAGAGAAAAGAAGAATGAGGGGAGACATGTAGCACTTTTCAAATACTTGAAAGGCAGTCGTACAGAGAAGGGGCAGGATCTGTTCTTGATCATCCTAGAGTGCAGGACATGTAATAATGGGCTCAAGCTACAGTTACACAGATTTATTTATTTATTTATTTATTCAATTTTTACCCCGCCCCTCCAGACAACGTCTACTCGGGGCGGCTTACATCAGCTAAAACCCGTTAAAATAGCATATAAAATGCAATTATACAATTAATTCTAAAAATAAAGAAGAAACATCAATACTGAAACAGGAAAAAAAGAAAAAAAACCAAGAAATCTTAAAGAAGTATCAAGAAGCAACACTGATATTAGAAATTTAGGCTGAATATCAGGAAAAACCTACCTTCAGAGGTGGTGAGCACTCCAACACTGGAGGCATTCAAGAGAAGATTGGACAACCATCTGTCAGATCTGCTTTGATATTGATTCCTGCACTGAGCAGAAGGCTGGACTTGACGGCCTTATAGGCCCCTGTTGTGTTTTTTTCCAGCAGAACCCAGGTTTTATTGTCAGTGGGATCAAGCCTTCAGATAATACTAGCAGGCAGCAGAATAATTACACTGAGCATGCTTGTATAAAAGGCACTTTTTCCAACAGCCCACCAGAGGGCATAGCTGGGAAACAGGTGCACAAAATGCACATTTATTTATTTTTATCATATTCATTTTCAGGGATTAGATTTTTAAAAAAAAAAATTCCTGGGATCCTTGTTGAATCGTGTCCCACTGTAATTACATTTACACTCTGTCTTTCTACTAAAAAGTAGTGCTCAGGTAAAAACAAATTTAAAATCAACAAAGTGCATGGTTAAAAGATTATTTCTTTTATTCTCTCTTCTGCACGTTTTTGGTGAAACTGGCAGGAAGATGGAACATCACGAATGCCTGTTTCATAAGCTGCGACAGACACATGCCTCAAATGGTCAAATTTAACAGTGCCTGACTACCCAGATCCAAATTTATCTTGGTAATCAGTCTCCCCAACTCAATGCAATAAAAAGATATCTGTGGGAATTAATATCCATAAGTACATGAAAGTATCAGCATACCACTGAAATTGCCAGGCTACAGATACACTGTGACCAGAATCCTATTGTGGATTTACACCAGTGTAAATGTGTTTATATAAACAGTCATAGCAAATTGCCACTAATTAATGATCAAATCTGAATATCTCTTGTATTCTCAGAAGAAATATTAGTTCCTACCTGTGCTGTGTGATCATAGAAGGAAGAAAGGAATACTTAACATTAGATTAAAAAGAGGAAAGGTGGAGAATGAATAGAAAAAATATTAATTGACATAACTGCAAGGAAAAAATATCAACACAAGTAATGATAATGATAGTTTTATCCCTTCTGCCAGCCATTGAGAATGAAGCCGCTCTCACATGCAAAAAAATTAAGTCTACGGTTTGTGCATGGAAAGGTAGACCGCCTAGAGTGGTTGTTTGACCAGATAGGCGTGATAATAAATACCTGCAGTGGTCTCGGTGTGGATCACAGCTACGCAAGCATAACAGACTTTTTTTTTAAAAAAAAGCTATTATCACTTGAGTGATCCTTCTGTTGAAATTGAAGATGTTTATTTTCTTTTAAGAAGGGTCCACAGAAGTTGTTGAATCACCAGTTTCCTTGTGTATAAGCGTACGTGGTTTACTCATGAGTGAGGAGGCAGCAGTGGTGATACTGAGTGGCCTTGGCAACCAGGTGGGTGATATAAAAATCAATCAATCAAACAAACAAGCAAAAATACTGGTGTGAGGGAATATGCTGTGGTCAAGGTTGGGGAGATGGAAGAGAGGGAATCTCCCTTTTTCCCTCCTTTCTTGTCAGCCAGCTGTATGCTGTGGGCAAGGTTGGGGAGATGGAAGAGAGGGAGTTTCCCTTTTTCCCTCCTTTCTTGTCAGCCAGAACTGCTCTGCCTTATAGGAGTGGAGCCCATGGAGTCGACATGGCCCCATGCCTTGCCTTTTCTCAAAGCCATCATTCATTCAGCTGCAGTGGCTTTCCTTTTCCTCCCCCCCCCTTTTGTTACTTAAAGTGGCGTATTGAAAGAGCAATGCATCAACCTAGTATGATATTAGAATGATGCTGCATTGGTTAGAATTAAAAAAAAAAGAAGACAAAAATAGAAGAGGGGGTTTTTTTTTAAAAAGACAAAAATAGAGGAGGGGGTTTCTGCATCCTTCCTTTCAATGTCACCAGCCACCTAATACATCACATGGTGCATCCTTCCTTTCAGTGTCACCAGCCACCTAATACATCACATGGTTGTCACTTCTGATAATGCCCCTCACACTCAATTTGGGAGTAAACTAGCCACCTGCATGGACAACACAACAAGAATTGTGTCAAAAAACAAACAAAACAGAAGTTCTAGCTCTGTACTAGAAAGAAGGAGGACACCTCTTAAAGGGGCAGGATGGGTTGATCTAAATAGAAATGTGTGGAAGATGCAATTTGGTTTGAACCAAACTGTACCAACAGTGATGAAAATATCGATCTACATACCCATCTGGACAGGCCCAAAGGAAGAGAAAGACTCAGAAGTGATTTAGGCAGCATGTGTGGAATTTCTTCCAAACAATGAATCAGACTCTAGCTGAAATAAATTGTGGTCTTTGACTATCCATTCTGTGTGGAAACTGGAGGAGTTTGACTAGGGTGTAAGAACAGCTTGGCCCTGACATGATACTCCTGATAAGTTCATAAACATTCTATCCAATCTGCTGCATCACATCCTTCGGCATTAACATAAGCAGGCAGCTGAACCAGTCGTTCTTGTCTATGGAGCAGGCCTGACATCTTCATGCTGACTTGCTAATTAAATTGTGCTTATAATGCCTTCACAATTATGTCAGCTCTGGTGTCTGTCTGAAGGGAAACAGAAGGGAGACGGACGTGTTTCCTAAGTGAGTAGATGGGCTTGAGGGTGGAAGGTACTATTCAAACTACATCTAGATTATGGATCTACATGGTTCATTTTCAGACCTACTGAAAATATTTAAAGTAGGGTAACATCTGGGTCAAAATAACTTAAATCATTATAAAAAAACCTGGCCATAAGCTGAAAAATAATTGATATTAAACCTTGTAAGACTGCTGGGTGACTGTGGTGGCAGCAAGCATTTACCACTGGACAGGGAGAACAGTAGTAAATGTGGGTGGTCATGAAAGGGCAGCATATTATTTGTACCGGTACATAGTTTATATATCTATGTGAGAATTTGGGGGGGGGGGTTCTATGGAAGATAGAACTGACAATTTCCCCCCTGGTTTTGCAAATCTTTGAAATTCAGCAAATTCTCCAAAAGAACTCCATGTTTTTCTCATCTGAAAACAGACATTGATTCCTTCTAATGCAACTTTGGTCATGAAAATCTGAGACCTCACTCCCTCCTTCATCGTCTTATTTTTTTTGGTACCACTTATACCCTGTTCAGTTGTTACTGTCTATGTTTTTAATCAACATATAATGAGGGTAGTGTGTTTTAATCACCATACATGTCGTGGTCACTTTCCTTATCCAAAAAGTGCCAAGTTTGAAACAGAGAGGTCTCTGTTCTTTTGGAGATATCACCTGTGAATAAGGAAGGTGGAAGAACAGGGTTCTGGTTTACATGAAAAGTCTCTGGGTGAACAGGAACTTTTTGCCTTCAGATCGGTTGCTTTGTGGAGAAATCAACAATGGAAGAGAATGGGACTAGGTGCTCCCCTTGTGACTTGATTAAAACAGCAGCAGTTAAACCTGCGTAGGGTTCTAGTGTGATGAAGTGTCAGGGAGAACATGAAATCTTGCCCCCTTTTGTATCATTTTGTCAGGTCCTGATAAAGGTATTATCTAACTCTGGAGGTTCCTTCCCACAACACAATCTGTCCCTTGTAATCTGAAATGCACCTAAAGGAAAAAAAAAACTGATTTTAAAAAGAAATCAAATATGAGAGGAAATGAAACTGTCAGGTTTGTTGAGGTCAGTCCAGGTTGCTTGGCAGACAGTTGAAGAGCCTGTGACAATTAAACCTAGCAGGCAATATGTGAGATAAACTTTGGCTTTGGTTCTCCTCCTACTACTACATATTGTGGAACTTAAGGGCAAATTTGGGTTGCCAGGATAGGTTTGCATCTAAGAATATTTGTGTCTTAAATTCTCGCTGTACGGAAAACATGCCTTTTCCTCTTAGCAAATATGGTGTTTTCTCTTTCCTTCAGGAGCGTCTATTTGTATCATGGAGACTGAAAAGCTGGAGCAAACAGAGGCCTTTGACAACACCTCTGGGCCTGCCACCTCCCTCCCTGACTGGATGTCAAGCCTACCTGGACATTTTTCTTTGTCTGAAATTTCAGTCCCTGGTACTCATGACTCCATGAGCCTGTTTGGTGGCTCAAAGATCCGGTGCCAGAGCTGGCCACTCGCAGCTCAGCTGGTTGCTGGTGTGCGCTTCCTGGACATTCGCTGTAAGCTAGAAGGTGGCCATTTCCTCATCTACCATGTCAACACATTCCAGGAGGCCAACTTTTCTGAGGTACTTAAGACCACTTTGAGCTTCCTAGAGGAACACCCGCAGGAGACAGTCCTTATGAGGGTCAAAGAGGAACTCCCAATTATTCCCAATGCAGACTTTGCCCCTCGCTTGCAGCGTTATCTGGAGGAAGAAGGCCAGGGACGAGTTTGGGCAAAAGAAGCCATTCCCACTTTAGGCCAAGCTCGGGGGAAAGTTGTCATCCTGGAGGAACTAGAGAAAGAAGTGCTGGGAGTACCTTATGAAGAGCAGAGTATTGGTGATGATTGGCATGTTCTCTCACCAGAGTGCAAATGGGACCAGGTCAAGAAGCACCTGGGCATGGCAACAAGTGGTGACAAAGCTGTCCTTTATCTTACCTTTTGCTCTGGTAATGGCCTCTTCACCAACCCTGAGGAACTTGCCAGAGACATCAATCGACGTTGTTATGAACATCTGAAGACTCAGGCTAAGAAAACTGAGCGCTGGGGTGTAGTAATCATGGATTTTCCTGGCACAGGACTGATTCAAACCATTGTGGAGAGCAACTATGGCACATGGAACACCACTGCTTAGCATTTGTGATGAAACAAGGCAGGAATAGTCATGAAGGTTCTAGAAGGTTCTAACCAGTAAGCCAGCTTGTTATACTTGCTAGCAGTTCCTCTTTGTTAAGAGGGCAGCAAGGGTTTTAACCTGTCTGGAGGACAAGGCTTTCTATTAAAGAAGTCCTCCTGTTTCATCAGAAGCCAGAGACAGATGTGAGAGACGGCCCTGCAGCAAGAACTGAATGCACATTAACGTTGCAGAATTGATGAGGCAGGATTTTAATAAGACTTCAAAGGATTCTCACACTTCAGACCAATCACTAAACTAAGAAAGCTAATTTGGATAACACCAGAACTGAGAGAAGCTCATGCTGTGATATTCCGATGCTCACATTAGCTAAGATTTTCATTTTTTTCCCTAGTCAAAGTCTTTCTCTAATGCCTGTTTATGATCAGAGATATGTAAGAGTGAGTTGTGATCACCCAGTGAGGGTCAACATTTTTCACAGTATCCGAGAGTTGAAAGGTACCTTATTGGGCATCTAATCAAGTTGTTTCCAACCCTAAGTCCTTAGATGTTTTTAGACTACAGCTAAGATACAGTGGTGCCTCAACTTACGAACTTAATCCGTTCCAGAAGATGGCCGTAACTCGAAATGGTCGTATATCAGGACGTTCGCAAGTCGAGGCACCACTGTAATTTGCTAAGCATTTGTCATGCTGGTTAGGACTTCTGGGATTCAAAGACCAACGACATAGAGGGAATCCAAGACTGGGTATAAGTGATCTAGTCCAGCCATTCTCAACTTTTTTTTGGCCAAGACCAAAAAAAAACCCAACCCTGAGCTCTTCTCAGGTTCCAAGGCCGCAGGTCAAACAAGGATACAACACGAACAGAAGAACAGAAAATCCCTTTCTCCATTTTTCATTCTGTGACCCATTACAAATGTGCCAGTGCTTCCCAGGGGGCCTCTATCTAGCCACTTGTACCATCAACATTTAGTTGAACTCCTTTATCTTTTCATTGAAACACACTGATGTGTGCTCTACCTACCTACACTCTAAAGCAGCTGAGAAAAATTTGTTCCATAATCTATATGACCATCTTATCAAATTCCTGAACAGAGCTGTCTTTTATTACCAAGAGACCTCTTGATGATAGGAAATTTTGGAGGTCACTAATTCACAGGGACGTGGTGGCGCTGCGGGCTAAACCGCAGAAGCCTGTGCTACAGGGTCAGAAGACCAAGCAGTCATAAGATCGAATCCACGTGACAGAGTGAACGCCCGTCGCTTGTCCCAGCTCCTGCCAACCTAGCGGTTCGAAAGCATACAAATGCAAGTAGATAAATAGGGACCACTTCAGTGGGAAGGTAACAGCGTTCCGTGTCTAAGTCGCACTGGCCATGTGACCACGGAAGATTGTCTTCGGACAAAACGCTGGCTCTACGGCTTGGAAACGAGGATGAGCACCGCCCCCTAGAGTCGAACACGACTGGACAAAAATTGTCAAGGGGAACCTTTACCTTTACCTAATTCACAGGATTGCGGTAACTCAGAAGCTACTTAATGGTGCATAATGATCTTAATTCTGCCATCTCTTCTCCATGGTAAACACACCCAGCTGCTTCAGTCTTTCTTCATAGTTTTTTTTTTCTCCAGGCTCCTTGGCAACTTTATTGTTGTGAACTTTATGCATTGCAATTTGTTGAGATCTTTATTTGATAGTTATTACTCTCTGCTACACCGACTCGAAGGCCTGATCAAGGTCCCATCTGGCTCAGAATTTTGCTCTGAGTGTTGGCATGAAGCTGGAAACGTGCTTTTATCTGTGTTTTTCACAGTACAGATACCAATGACTGTATGACCCAGTAGCATTTTAGTTTCTGTGTCATTGAAACAAAAGTCTTGGAGAAAGATAACAGATGTATTAGTAATTTTCCCATGGTGCAATATCAAGTACAATGAAATTTGTCAGGTACAATGTACGAGTACAACACAAGTTGTACCTATAGTTAGATAACAATGTAATTTTTACAGGGAGCTGAGGTCAGGAAGCCGGAAGATACTGGCTTTCATGTCCTTTTGTTAATTTCAGAAACCCAAGTCATTTACAGTATAATGTCTTTTAGCATTGCCTTATTCATCAGACACATACAATCAGCCAGAAATTAGATTTTTCTGATCAGAGATAAATAGGAGTAGGCTGTAATCACTCAATGAGTGTCAGAATTTCACACGATTGTAGAGTTGGAAGGGATTTTATTGGAATCTGGATTCAGTTGACAATTCCCTATACTGTAGTAAAGGGGGCTGCTCAAGAAATGTATCTCATCCTGACAAATTATTCATATATGACTATTCATCATAACATTTTTGCAAACCCTAGAAATACTTGTTTATTTTTTAAAAATATTTGCATTGTGAACTTTGTAACACCACTTCCCATCTAAAAATGGCAAGAAATGCTGAAGAATAGTAAAAAAAATTACTTTCAAAGTATTTTGTAATTTCACCTTTGTTTCTGAACACCTACGAGAAAGCATAACATTGCTTTTTATCACATCTGATGGACATGTCAGGAAAGGAAAAAAAATTATTGGAGATCAGTACTTGAAATGTTACAAAAAATTGTATCTTGTGCGATGACATTTAAACCGGAACTGTTTTTATTGAATATTATGCCTGAGATTGTAGATAAAGAATTGAGATATTTGATAATATGCATAATTACTGCAGCTAGAATACTATATGGGAAATACTAGAAGAAATACTGTCCTTAGAGGAATTGACAGAAAAGATACTGGAAGTGGCAGAGATGGGTGTACTAACAGAAGCATTGAATGGAAGTTCATCTCAAAAAAGTCTCAAAACTGAGAATGATTTTATAGTTGGACTCAAAATATGGATTGGAAAGTATAGATAAAAGAAGAGCAGGAAGGTCCAAGTAGGGAATGGAGAGATTATTTATAGAAATTCTGTTAAAATTTACTAAATTGTTTTTGTGATCTTCTTCTTAGTATAACTGTAGAAGTGGATGTAAAAAGTACTCTTTCACTGTTTGGAATTTTCCCTTTTCCCTACCCATATCAATTCCCCCTATGGCCCATACCCTGACCCAAAACCGTAGTTCCATTGAAAATGAATGAAAATTAATAAAAAGAGAAAGCATAACACTGCGATAATTTCTTTTATCTCCAGTTTCAGTTTCGCCAATGTTTCCTTCCTGAGCAAAGTGTTAGAGAGGGTGGTGGCTGACCAGATCCACATCCTTTTGGATGAATCCAGTGCCCTGGATCCATTCCAGTCGGGCTTCAGGCCGCGCCACGGCACAGAAACGGCATTGGTCACTCTGTTTGATGACCTGTTGAGGGAGGCTGACAGAGGCAAAAGTCTCTGTTTGTCCTCCTCAATATCTCAGCTGCCTTCGATACAGTCGATCATGGTATCCTCCTGGGGAGGCTCTCCGACTTGGGTATTGGTGGTCTGCTGCTTGCGTGACTCTGATCCTTCTTGGAGGACCGTCCTCAGAGCGTACAGCTTGAGGGGAGAGTTTGGGCCCCGTGGAGTCTCAATTGTTGGGATCCGCAGGGCTCAATTATCTCCCCAAGGCTGTTTAATATCTATATGAGGCCGCTGGGTGGGGTCATCAGGGGGTGTGAGACTTCATGTCATCAGTACTCTGATGACACCCAGCTCTACATCTCCTTTTCTCCAACAACAGTGGATGCTGTTCCATCCCTTCAGCACTGCCTGGAGGCTGTACTGCAATGGATGCAGGACTGAGGCTGAATCTGGACAAGACGGAGGTCCTGAGGGTGGGTGGCTCCTCCATTGGTAGTTTGGGAAACTCTTTTAGAAGAGTGACTCTCACCGTGAAGAGTGAGGTTCGCAGCCTGGGTGTCCATCTGGATCCAGCACTCACCATGGAAACCCAGGTAGTGTCAGTGGTCCGCTCCACCTATTTCCATCTCTGGCAGATTGTCCAGCTGCATCCCTATTTTGATGTTAGGGCGCTCACCACTCTGGTCCATGAGCTTGTAATATCAAGATTAGACTACTGTAATGCACTCTACATTGGGCTACCTTTGAGACTGATGTGGAAGCTTCAAATGGTGCAGAATGCGGCAGCCAGACTTCTCACTGGTGTGAGAAAATATCAGCAGATTTCCCCCACTCTGGCTGCCTTGCACTGGCTGCCTTTTCTTTTCCTCATTGATTTCAAAGTATTAATGATGACATATAAAACCCTAAATGGTTTAGGACCTCGATATCTGGTGGAACACCTCCTCCCAACTAGATCTAGCCAAATCACTCGTTCTAGCTAAGAAGGGCAGCTGAGGGGGCCATATGCCGAGGGAGGCCTGGCGAGAAAGAACAAGAAACTGGGTCTTCTTGGCAGTGGCCCCTCGCCTCTGGAACAGTGTGCCCCCAGAGGTCTGTCTGGTGCCCTCTCTGGGTGTTTTTAAGAGCAAACTTGAGACCTGGCTCTTTAGGCCGGCTTTTCCTCCTATCATCACTTGATTATTTTTTCCATCTTGAACTATATTATTACTGTTGTTTTATTTTATTAGAGTGGTGCCTCGCATTACGACGTTAATTCGTTCCAGTGAAATCACTGTAGAATGAAAATAAAAAAGCAAAATAAAAAAGCCCATAGAAATGCATTAAAACCTGATTAATGTGTTCCTATGGGCTTGAAACTCACCGTCCAGCGAAGATCCTCCATAGCACGGCCATTGTTGCTGCCCGTGCAGTGAGGAATCAGTCCCAGAAAAGAGCGGGGAGCCATTTTTTTACCCAGCGGCCATTTTGAAACGGCCGATCAGCTGGCCGAAAACCGTCATTTTGTGAGAATTGGTTACCGAAGCAGGGAACCAATCATCGCAAAGCGAAATTCCCCCATTGAAACCATCGTAAAGCGATCACTTTTGCGATCACAAAAAGTTTGTCATAATGCGATTTCGTCGTTAAACGGGGGCACTCGTCTTGCAAGGCAGCACTGTATATTGTTTCTATTTTATCTATTATTGTTAGCTGCCCAGAGTAGGCTTTGGTCTAGATGGGCAGGGTATAAACAAACAAACAAAGAAACAAACATACCCCCACAATCTCAAAAATCTTTTTCTGCATCTCCCATTCCAGCAAGCTCTGAAACTCGCTTGTTGTTTTTCTTTTAAAACCAACACATTCTAAACAAGAACTTAGCAAAATTACTAATGGATTTTGAATGTACCATTCCAAACTCATTAATGTTTCCAAGCCGTTAATGTTTTCAATTAAATGTTGCTTGAAATGTTTAGCCTGCCAGGAAGCCTTGCTTCCTTTTCTTTTCAGTGTGCGTGGTGCTATCTCTGGAGGAAACCACACCCTGCATTTACCCCTAGTTTTTGAAGTTTGTCCTCACTTTTCTTGTATATTTCCTGGCAATGAGACGACAGCGTGTCACTTTTGCAGTATTCCTGTGATATTTTCATGGATTTTTAGGTTTGTGAGGGTTTGTTTGTTTGTTGTCATTAAAAACTGATCAGAAAAATCAGCAACTACCTCATAAGAACATCACCAGAAGACCCTGTGTGTGGCAAAATGTCTTCTTTCTTTCTTTTTTAGATTTATCTGTATATGCATCGATGATGTATGTGGCTTCTTTACTGGTCTCTTTCTCTGAACTTTATCCCCAAAATTACCTTATAGAACAAGTTTGGCAGAAGTACTCGTTGGTTCATGAGCCCCAAAGAAACTTTGTGACTAAGTAAGAGCTTCAGCTTGGGTCTCTCAAGTCCAACCGTCTTAACCATTGCATTTTACTGCCTCACTCAAATCTGCGGTTATTGTATAAATGATACCAAGGCAGATGCACTAGGGGTAAAAGAATCCAAACCATTGCACCTAATTTGCACAAAATGCAAAATTGCATATTGTGTAAATACTGTTATTTGTTATGGAGATTACTTGGATTTGAAGAACTGCAGTATCAAATCCCATCATATTCTTCTGGCATCATATTCTTCTGGCATCATATTCTTCTGGCAGTAAGATCTTCTGGGTGGGCCCTGGAAGTTAATTTTCAGTGAGGTCAGTGGTAGCACTTCTTATCTGAAGGGTTTAAAACTATTTTTGCTAGTAAAATGCAGATGCTTTCTGAATAGCCAAGGACTGCATACAAACTAAGATCATGGCCACTGGTCCCATCACCTCCTGGCAAATAGAAAGGGAAGATATGGAGGCTGTGACAGATTTTACTTTCTTGGGCTCCATGATCACTGCAGATGAAGACAGCAGCCACGAAATTAAAAGACGCCTGCTTCTTGGGAGGAAAGCGATGACAAACCTAGACAGCATCTTAAAAAGCAGAGACATCACCTTGCCAACAAAAGTCCAAATAGTCAAAGCTATGGTTTTTCCTGTTGTGATGTATGGAAGTGAGAGCTGAGCCATAAAGAAAGCTGACCATCGAAGAATTGATCCCTTTGAATTGTGGTGCTGGAGGAGGCTCTTGAGAGTCCCCTGGACTGCAAGGAGAACAAACCTATCCATTCTAAAGGAAATCAACCCTGAGTGCTCACTGGAAGGACAGATCCTGAAGTGGAGGCTCCAGTACTTTGGCCATCTCATGAGAAGAGAAGACTCCCTGGAAAAGACCCTGATGTTGGGATAGTGTGAAGTCAAGAGGAGAAGGGGACGACAGAGGATGAGATGGCTGGACAGTGTCACCGAAGCAACCAACATGAATCTGACCCAACTCCGGGAGGCAGTGGAAGATAGGAGGGCCTGGCGTGCTCTGGTCCATGGGGTCACAAAGAGACGGACACAACTAAATGACTAAATGACGACGCATACAATTCATGTCCCCCGAGGCTAGTCCTGCTGACATGGTGGCAGAAAGAGATTATTTGCTCCATGTGGTGGTGATGGTGGGGAGGTTCCTTTCATATGAAGACTCTCTATCTTGGAACAAAAGTACTGGTTGCCTTGAGAATAAAACCTTACTTGGAAGCACTGGTTCTTTCCTGCCAAGAATAACGAGCTTCATGGCTTTGTGGGGATTCTCATCCTTGGAGAACAAGATATATTTACCGCAGCCTAGCTCATTATTTAGCCTCCGTGGTGATGTCCCTTTAGGACTGCTGGGAAAAAAAAACAGCATGTTTGGGATCTTCTCCATGTAGACCAAGAACCTCTTGAAATAGCTCATGGATCATCAGACCCCTCTCTCTCTGCTAGGGTCATCCACACCTTGTTTTATTAACAGGCCCCCACCCGCACCTCCAATTTCTGGAAGGGGATAAACCTTCCTCCTCAGACTGATAACTTTGTCTACAACCATATTGACCGTGAGAAGAGAATTTTCTAGCTGCTGATCCTTGATTAACAAATGACTAAATATCCTATTTGAATGGTGACAGAACAAATCAGACTCTTGGTAGGTAAGAAGTCAGAGAGCATTTCTAGCATACATATTATTGGCAGAGCAGAGGAGTAAAATTATTCTCTTATGGAGGATTTGTAAGGCTGGTCTTTGTACATATTTTTAAAAAGACAATGCTTATGGTATATCTTTGTATTAATTTCAGATCCATTTTTGTTTCAAACGAGAGCAGAGCAGAGGCAGATGTAGTGCAAGTGAACATTCCACCCAAAGCACATTTGCTATTTGCATTGCAAACCCTATAGAAACTGTATAAATTCAATCTGAAAACATGCCCTACATGGTATTTATGTTTTTCCAATGAGTAGCATGTTTTTGCAACTGTATTGTAGGGAGAAGCAGCTGATTGTTATGACCCTTCCTCCTCCCACTGGAGTGCACACATTCTCTCTCTCTCTCTCCCCTTCTAGATAAAAAAACAGTAACAACAAAATCTGAAGAATTGAAACTGCAGTGTTCCATTAAAATTCCTATTGTTTGTACATAATTTCCAATTACCTAACTTTGTAGTACTGAAAAACAGTATGATTTTATCCTACCGGAAGTCACCCAGAGAGTGGCATTAATCTGCCTATTAAAAAAAATTAATAGGCACACTAGCCCCTTTAACTGTCCTCTTTATGCTGCCAATACCTTGGAAAATGGCCCTTGGCCCCACCCCTAAGGTCATCCACCTCTATTTTTAAACAAAAGAGCTTTGAGGAGGAGGGTATTTAACCGTTTCATTCTGACTTCTTTTCCATTAGGTGCCTTTCCCAAATTGCTTTTTTTACTATTAGTGTTCTGGATGTATCAAGAACAGCTGAACTTTTGATTGAAACCTTATGGGGGTCAGGGAGGAAGAGGAAGGAGAGAATTTTTAACAGAAAATTGCAGAGGATGTGGTCCTGCTTTTTATCTGAATATCAAAACTGCTTTATCCTAGTCTAAGCAGCCATTGATTCAATGGGCTTTTTCCCATTGAGGTTTACTATGCTAAACAACAGGCTTTCAGCTGATATGCGAACACAATGCTAATGTATGACAGTTACAGATGAAAACATGGACTTATATAACAAGATTAGTCTCTGACAATCTCCTTGGTATGTTTCCAGTCCCAACAGAATGAGTTTGCTCGTTTTCAGATTCTGTTAGCTTAATGTAAAATATGAGCTGGAGTTTTACTCTTTGGGAACTAACTTATGATGCTTCTGGGCTGACAGTGAGCAAACCCCCAAGTGTTATAAATGAGAGGAAAAAATGAAGGAAGAAGTGAAAGAGCCCCTGTGTGGTAAAAAGATTCATTGTTTAGGCAAGGCCACAACATTCAGCTGAGTCTGACAATTTCCAAAAGTTTCAAATTCCAAACAGGGTTTTTCTGAAGAACCAGAGCAGATGATGAATATGGTATGCTTGTCACATTCCTTTCAGAAATACTCCCCCAAGTGGTGAAAGCCATCTGTCAGAGCATAGGGTTCTTCTTGTTACTTTGCTCTCAGCCAGCTTTCTGTCAGTTCCAGGATCTCATTGGTCAGGGGGAGATAAACATGGGCTTAATCAGTTACCACCCACCATTTGCTGGGCCCTTCACTGGGGATTTTTCAAGAAACAACTTAAGACCTGGTTATTCTGGCAAGCTTTTCAGACCATGTCATCTACTTAAACAACCTATAATGACACTTGATTACAGCCAATTTAAATGCACTAGTTATTTTAGAATGTATTTTAAATTGTTTGATTACTGTTATAATGCTTTTTCAGAGCTGAGTTATTCTTATGTTTTTATGTTTTGTTGGTTTATTTTTGTTTTATGCTGTGAACTGCCCAGCATAGCCCTTTGCCAGATGGGATGTAAATAAATAAATAAATAAATAAATAAATAAATAAATAAATAAATAAATAAATAAATAAATAAATAAATAAATAAAGTGCAAGTCTAGAAAGAAAGAAAGAAAGAAAGAAAGAAAGAAAGAAAGAAAGTGCAAGTCTGATTGCTGAGGCAGATAACTATGTAAACTCTATTGTGGGAGGGAAAGCAGCTTATTTGTTAATTGTGTGGAATGTTCCCTTAGTTTTATCCAGGTATGACTGAAAGGGTTTTTTGTTGTTTGTTTTTTTAAATGAGCAGCATATAAGCATTTTCTCCCTAGGTCCATGGACAAAATTTGAAAATTACAGCCAAGGTAAGTGACAAATAATTTTTACCCACTTTTAAAGCTGTGCACCTTTCTAGATAATTGGTACGCTGTTTAAACTTTTCAATGTTGTTTTCTGCTAATGTGAGTCTTGTTCCTAATTTAGCCTTATGCAGATTGATGTACACACAAACACTTGCGATTCTTGTTGCTGAATGTGAAATGGATGTGGAACAAGGACGGAACAAGAGCATGGACGTTGAGTTTGTTATCCTGGGATTCAACACCAGCAGAACTCTGAGGATCATATGTTTTGCTTTGTTCTTTTTCATGCTCCTCATCACCCTCTCAGGACACTTGGCCATAGTAGTCATAAGTGTACTTGATCCTGCCCTCAACACCCCTATGTATTTTTTCCTGCGCAGCCTGTCATTCATTGAAATCTGCTACACTTTGGTCATTGTGCCCAAAATGCTGGCCAGCTTCTTGGCTAAGAGCACAAGAATCTCCTTGATTGCATGTGCTGCACAGATGTACTTCTTCATTGCCTTTGGAGGCGCTGAGTGCTTCCTCTTGGTTGTGATGGCCTACGACAGGTACGTGGCCATATGCAACCCACTGCGCTACACTCTCATCATGAGCAGGAATCTCTGCATGCAGTTTTTGGTGGCAACCTATATCAGCGGATTCAGCATCTCACTAGGATTGACCTTGCTGATTTTCACTCTCCCCTTCTGTGGATCCCATGAGATCAATCATTTCTTCTGTGATATTCCTCCTGTGTTGTTGTTGGCATGTAGTGATATAAGTATGAATGAGGTGGCTGTGTTCTTTGTTTGCATGACAAATTTGCTCATTCCTTTCCTCCTCATTTTGATTTCCTATGTGTTCATCGGCCGTTCCATTGTCAGGATCAAATGTTCTGAAGGGCGGAATAAAGCTTTCTCCACCTGTGTCGCTCACCTGGTTGTGGCCCTCCTACACTATGGGTGTGCGATCTTCATCTACATTCGTCCAAAGGCCAGCTACTCCCTGAATCATGACAAAGTGGTCTCCCTGATCTACACTAATCTTACCCCCATGTTGTACCCCATAATCTACAGTCTCAGGAACAAGGAAGTCAAGGGAGCATTCAAGAGAGTGTGGGAAAGAATATTTGTTGCTATAGCAAAGTAATCCTAGTGTCCCTCGGGCCTATTTTTTCATAAATGACTAGCATTGCCAGTCAGTTGAACATCTAAGGCCAGATGTTGTAAATTTGACTAGATTTGCCAATTGATCAAAATGGTGAAGATCTATTGTTACATTTCTGTGCAAATGTATACAAAAGCAAGTGTGAGCTCTTTACTAAAACAGCAAGAAAAAGTGTGCTTTTGCTGTTTCTTGTAGCTGAACAGCTCAGTTGAACAGTTATTGTCTACACTGGCTTCTGGTCTGGGATCCTCACTCCTAGACCCATGAAAACTGTTGGACTCTGCTTCTCAACTTCGCTTCTCTTCTTCTTGCCAGGATGCATTATTTCATGGGTCAGCACTTGTAAGCTAGGTGTGACACGCAGCTTTTCGTTTGAGTTCATCATACTAGATGTTAAATGTTTTGAGCTGCAGCACAAGCGCATTCTAGCTGAAGCATGCTGAACTGTTTGGATGAGCAGCAGCTAAATGGACTTTTGTGTGGCAAAGGGGCAACCAATACGCAGGGTCCTCAAAATCATTGCTGTGGGGAAAAAATTTGCACTGATACAAACCTATTGTGAATGGCCCCAGCTGCTATATCGACGATGAGGCAGCAGCTACTGGTGATCAGTTAAGCTTTATTGGACTCAGCATACAAAGGAAAGGAAAGAAAATAAAGGAAAAACAATGTCTCTGTAGTCCTTTGCAGGATGGGGCCTCTAGCTCCAAGCAGCAGTAGGGATGGAATGGGTAGCTTTCTATCCTTCCAGGCCTTCCAGGGCTGAGGGAATATTCAGTCCTAGCCCCCCAGCTCCGAGGGAGTTACTTCACCCCCGTGGTAGCTTGTCTTGGCTGAAAGGTCCAGGCTGTTAAACAGTCTTTGCCAGCCGAGTCCCCCAGCAAGCAGAGGAAGCTGTGCAGCACTGGCTGTCCCTGGGAGCTTCTATCTTTCAGCTTTCAACTTGCCTTCAGATAAGCCAGCTGTCCTTCCTCTTAGAAGCTCCTTTCAGCATCTCCCCCAACAGATTATTTTCTCTCTTCTCCGAAGGTGATTGAACCTCCCAAATGGCTAGTTCCTCCTCCCCCGTCCTTGCTCACTTGCCTCTATATCTACCTCAACTACAGCTGTTTCTCTGGAGGTGGGTTTAGGGCCTCCACCCTTGTCTGCCTCAGGTGTTTCCTTCAAGGCCAACAACTCTTCTGCCATTGCTGAAGGGGCCTGCCCACCCTGGCACTTAGCTCCTTCCCCCCAGCCAGCTGTAGCTGGCTCACACCTACACATTAAACATCATCAACCTTTGACTTCCAGGTGACATGTGGCCAGCAGTGGATCTCTAAATGGGGCCCGTAGTGGGGTGCCAGCCCTACCAACAATTCCTCTAGCATGGTACCACTGCTGTTACTGTTCTTGTTGTGCCAGATGTGGCACAGGAGGCCTGTTACCCCAACATACCACATTCCTGGCACAGGCACACACTGGACAGCCTGCTGAACAGTTCTTGGGTCAACTATTGAGAGCATGATTTAAACACAGAAGGTAATGTGTAGGTTTGACCCTGCTTGCAAGCGGTCTTCCTAGAGAGTCCATTTGAACATCACCAAAAAGTGATGCACTCTTTTTTTGCGAAAAAAAGAGGACCATACTGCTTTGCCCAAGTGTGCATAAGTTATGCTTAGAGATGCAAAATTAGGAAAGATTTTAGTTAGGCAATCAGAAATGCAGTACTTCTCACTTGACTGGGGATAGCGGTGACCAAGTCATTTGTGTGGCTGCTGAGTCTGTTGTCTAGGCTCTCCATGTGGACAAGCAGTTTCAAGGTCCCTGACCTCCATCTTCATGATTATTTTTCCTTAAGGTAAGCTTGGTCTGAGGATGGCAGCCGTTCAAATACTACCGGATTGCCCTCCTTAAAAGAGGACATGCAGCTAGTCTATATTTTCCCAGGATGATTGTGCTTTTGATAATCTAGCAAAGAAGGCACTGCTTAAATAAAGGAAGCTGCACTTGGGAGCAGTTATTTTCATGAGGTCTTACCCATTTAGGCGACATCTTTCCCTCACCTGCTCAGTGGGTACTGGAAGTGGAGTAAGCCTGGAGCGCATCTCACAACAATTTGAACCTTCTTATCCTTGCACAATGAGAAGGGTGGGGTACACCGTTGGGCTACTTGTTTGTGTAGACTATATTTATCATACTAGTTTATATTCTTGGCCAAAGGCTTCTTTTTACTATTTTACTTTTGTTGATTTTTAAATGCATGTAGCAAGTTCTCTTGATATTCTTTTTCCCTCCCAAATAAAACTTAAGTGGGGTTTTTAAAGCAAAGCCAAGCAGTTAAAAAAAAAAGATTCTCAGTTACATGGGCTAATGTCCAATTCTGAATCCAAATTATGGTGCTAGTGCACACCCGTAGCTCAAAGAAAGCAAATATACTAGATGCCTTGTAAAACAGATGACAAAATGAGAATGGACGTCACCCTCAAAACTCATATACAAGGGCATTTTCAAGGGCAAATTCCAAGGCATGAGTAAAAGTACTTCCAGGAAAATGGTTGCAGCTCTAAAAATAATGAACCAATGGCTGAAATCTTGTTTAGTGTAGTAAATTCACTAGAGTAGGCTAACAGAGTCAGTGAGAATTTGGGTTGGTCAGCGCCTTCATAATTTCCGTTCATTCAAATTGGTCTGTTCTAGTCATGCCCTACTTTGTGCTTTGATACTGAAGATGGGAGGGGCTGCAAAAGTAATTACACCAACCACCACTCCCATAATCCCCTTGCTCCCAGTTTCTGAGATCCAAATAGATGATTCTCTCTTTAGAACTCAAGAAGAGTCATATGGAAATCCCCACTTGTTATCTGTATCCCAAACTGAGCAACCTGCTTTCCCATGGAGGAAGTTTGTGTTCTTCAGCTCTTGAGTTAAGGCGTAAGAAAGGAGGAGGAGCACAAGGATACAGACAATGGCTTAGATTCTTTGCTATGTTAGCATGTATGTAGAGACACTCCCATCCTGGATGCATTAACTCTTGAGAGGTTATATTTCATTTACAAGAATTTTTAAAAAACTACATGCAGTATTTTTGGTTGCTAGGTATTGCAGGCAACCATAAATTGTAAAAATGCAAAGGATTCATTCCCTGGGAATTGCTGAAAGTTACAGGACAGTGACAAGTTACAATTAAAATAGGCCCACTGAATAAATGGGACTTATGGAAGAGTTGACTCACCAAATCCCCACTGATTCAATTGACCTACACTACTAGTGATTTATTGCTGGATCAAGAACTGCTTGTTCCAGGAGACATCTAGGCATCTAAAGAAAAGAAATACCTTAATAATGTCTAACTAGGTAATGGGGGTCTGTTAATAAAACAAGGTGTGGATGACCCTAGCAGAGAGAGAGGGGTCTGATGATCCATGAGCTATTTCAAGAGGTTCTTGGTCCTCATGGAGAAGATCTCAAACATGCTGTGGTATTTTTTTTCCAGCAGTCCCCTTTAGTCACCACGGTGTCTAAATAATGACTGGTCTTTTTGGCCCAAGGCCAATCTCAGGTCTCTTACACCTTCTGCATGCCACTTCCCCCTTCAACGTTGAATCCTGACTACACTGGGGGGGGGGAGGAAGGGAAAGTAAGAAATATTATGGGTTTCAGGCACAATGACACAATGGGAAATCCAAATTAGCCCTGAATTCCATATCCATGGCTTTCCCTTCCATCAGATACCCTTCTACTTTTAAAAACGGTATATCTTTGAACCGATACAGAAAGAAATGATCAACTGATCTCATGCAGACACACACACACACACACACACACACACACACACACACACACACACACACAAAAGCAGAACTTTGGCAAAACACCTTTCCCCTCGCTTCTTGCCTCACAAAGACAAGGTGACAATACATATGTACACACATGTGCACTCTCTCTCTCTCTCTCTCTCTCTCTCACACACACACACACACACACACACACACACAAGCATTCACTTCTCTCCACAAAGCTTCTCTCCCAAGACCCTTTTTTAAAACAGCCTCTCCTCAGGCAGAGCTCCTGTCCATTTGTTAATAATTTTTTGCAGCATAACAAGCTCTACTGGCTGGCAAGATAAGTTGAGGAAATGAATGATTGAGGAAGGAAAGCCTTCTTGAGGCAGTTCTTCTGAATCATGCCACCCACAGGCACTTAAAATAGAACTGCAGTTAGGAAGCTTTTTTCCTTCTCAGCCTTAATATCCTGGTGTGACTTCAAAGCCAGAAAAGGTGAATCAATTTGCATTCCCCTCACTGCGTAATCACACCCTTGGCCAAGGCACAACACTCAAAGCAAGGAAGTCTTAGAATCTTGCCAACTCCCTCCCTCCATTATTGGCATATCCTGTTTCCCTGCCTAGGGTTCCTCTCTAGGACTGGTAATCCTTATACACACTGAGCACAGGTTATGGGTGGGTGGTTAGTTGCACCATACAAACAAATTGTGCAATTTCCTGTGATGATACTACAAATTAGGTTAGGATAGTAGGTATTGCTGCAGCTGCAAACACTGATACATATTAAGCCATTTTTGCAGGTGCACCTTGCTGTGTCGCATTTTGCTTTGCATGCAGTTCCCAAGTTCTCAGAAGATGGTATATAAGAATAAAACAGTATCCATCACTCTGATAAGACACTGGATTCATTTTCCCAGGAGTACAAATGCTTCTACTCTTGTATGGTTGAAAGTACAGCATTTTATTTGCTTGCAGCCACATCTTCGCTTGGTGTTTAGCAAAGGAGCACATGCAACACACGATCTAAGAGCTGCTGCTGCTGCTGTTGCTTCTTCTTCTTCTTTTTCTTCTTCTTCTTCTTCTTGGAAACATGTCCAGATCCCCTTTGCCCTTGTTGAACAGTGGTAGCCTAGCAGGATCAATAGCCTTGGTAACTGCAGTATCTTGAAGAGGAGGTTGCTCCATTACACCAAGTTAGACATCAACACCCTCCGGTTGA